ACACACAATCCTAATTATCTTGTCATTCTAAATGTATATATGCAGGTGGGTCTGGTGCTGAGCAACCTCCCCGTTATCCGGAAGCACACAGAAGGCATCGAGAGTGCCTTACAGTCGATTGTGGAGGTGGCCATGGTCCTTCATATGTTTGTGGTTGGCCTTGAGGTGGACCCCAACATCTTCCTAGAAATCCACCTCCCAGAGGCCAAGGTGGCGTACTCTAGTGTCCTTTCCACCTTTGTCCCCGCGGCCTTCATCACTCCTCTCTTGGGTCTCCCCTCTCCACCCACCCCACCTTCCCCCTTCAATCTCTGTCTCTCCCTCCTCCTTTCCGGCACTGCATCCCCTCTTCTTACCCGCCTTGTCACTGACCTCAAGATCGGAAAGTCAGATATTGGCCGCTTTGTCGTCTCTGCCGGAGTCCACACAGACCTCGTCTCCACCCTCCTTGTCTGTGCCGGCTATGTCCTCTTCGACGTCCCTAAACAGGAACCCCCAAACTTTCTTCCGAGGAAGCTTACCCATGTCCTCGTCATGCTCTCTATCCTTGTCATTCAGACTGTGCTCGCCTCGAAGCTCACACCCATCATCATGAATTGGGTCAACCGAGAGAATCCTGATGGAAAGCCCATCAAGTGCTCCCACTTAATACTGGCTGTTGCATATGTGGGTATTGTATGCAGTTTCTCCCCCATATGGGCCGGCTATGATAAGGTGTTGAGTGCCTTTCTCGCAGGAGTGTTCATGCCCAGGGAAGGGAGGATAGCCAAGATGATGATAAGTAAGGTTAATTATTTCTTTACTGCCATCTTTTACCCATTGTTTTTCTTTTGGGTGGGGAATGTGGCGCAGCTGGGACAGTTTGAGGTGGGTAGCCTCAGAAGCTGGGGCCAAATATTCTTGTTGTTTCTGATAGGAACTGCAGGGAAGGTGGTGGGGTCATGCATGTCGGGGGTCATGCTAGGGTTTCATTGGCAGGACTCAATTGCGTCTGGTCTGCTCTTGAATATCAAGGGACACTTTCATGTCTATCTTTCTATCATGGCCTACTCTGTAAGTAGTTTTGATTTGTCGACTGATTTATCTTCTTTTTATTTTTATATATGCGAGATGAGCTGAGTTGAGTTGAGTTGAGTTGAGTTGCAGATGAAGATGACTAGCTTGTCGACCAGCATCGCCATGGTGTTTGCCATTTTCCTAACCATCGTGTACGCTCCGGTGGTGGTGGCGAAAATCATCCAGCGCGCACGCAGGAGGTCCCCAACCCAGCGCATGGCCCTCCAATGGTTGCCCCCCTCGGCAGACCTTCGAATCCTCCTCTGCCTCCATGGACCCCAGAACGTGTCCTCTGCCCTTAACTTGATGAGCATCTCCCGTGGGGCAGCGGACCCCGGCATACTCGTGTACCTTGCCGATATGGTTGAACTCACCGACCGCATAGCCGCTACCCTTTCACACTCCCAAAGCCCTGACCACAGTGTGAGGGTGGGGGACCCCACAGTGGTGAGCATGAGGGAGATGATAACAGGTGGAGTCAATGCATACCTAAGGGATGAGGATGGAGAGGGGATCACGGTGAAACGCATGTTGGCTCTCTCCACCATCAACAACATGCATCAGGATATCTCTATACTAGCTGAGGACCTCATCGTCTCACTCCTTGTACTGCCTTTCCACAAGCAGCAGGAGCCAGGGGGTAGGCTCAACTTAGGACACTCAGGATTCCGCCATGTCAATCGCAAGGTAGTCTAATCTAATCTTCACCCATTACGAAAATATATATATATGAAACATAAATTAATATGATATTGTCTAATTAAAACAGGTCCTCCGTCACGCCCCGTGCTCGGTTGCCATCCTGGTCGACCGTGGCCTAGGGACCACACTTATATCGAGGTCATCCGTCTCCCTCCATGCAGCTGTCATCTTCATTGGTGGAAAGGACGACCGAGAGGCTCTAGCGTATGCCGGTCGCTTGGCCTGCCACCCTGGCGTGAAGCTCACGGTCATCCGCTTTCTTCTCGAGGCCATCGGGGACACAGTATCCTCCATCATCACCATCGCCAAATCCAACACCTCCGAGCACCAGGAGGAGATGAAGGTTGACGACGAGTGCTTTGCCGACTTTTACGATCGTCATGTGGCTGGCGGACACGTGGCGTACATGGAGAAGTACCTCGTCAACTCTGGACAAACCTTCTCTACCTTGAGGTCTCTTGAGGGACAATACGGTCTTTTCATTGTGGGACGAGGCGGTAGGGTTAATTCGGTTCTCACCGTCGGGATGAACGACTGGGAGGAGTGCCCGGAGCTTGGCCCCATCGGGGATATCTTGTCCGCCTCTGATTTTTCTTTGACTGCCTCGGTTTTGATCATACAACAACATAGTTTGAAAGGGGAGTTGGATGGCCTTCAAGATGAGTTTTCTATCATGTGATGTGATGTCAACTTCTGTATTCCTAATGTCTATAGGTTTTAGAAGCACAAAAAGACAACACTTGTGCTACTAAATTTTAGGAGGTAGGAAAAATATGAGTACTGCATACACAAAGGTAAAGAGTGACGAGTGTTGTAGGCATATCATTTGCTAGATAATTTCATAAATTCTCTCCAACCACAACCTATTTGAGAAACAAAAAGATCCACTTATTATCTTTAAAATTATAGACCTTGAGTGGTTTGGCTTGTTAATTAATTACAGACTTAATTACACTCACACTTTGATTTAATGCATCAATGCGTACATCGCAATTATTATTAATCGATAAAAAAAATAGTTTAGTACCGATTTTGCAATTACATTTTCCTAAGTTGTATATGCAATAATGTGTGTTTGGAATTAAATTGGACATCCCAAATAAATCCATAGTATATTGGTTGATATTATGGAAACTCGGAAAATCATGTGGAGATAAAAGAGAGTTTCGATTATTTCTAAGAATTCTTTACTATTCTTTATTTCTATTATATATGATTTCACAAATTTCACTAGAAATTACTAACCCTAAATAGTAACACACTCTGCTACCTGAATTTTTTCTTACTGTTTATATAGCTCGAGAAACGCTTTTCGGTTACACCTGACTTATTGGATAGTCTAGAACACACTCTCTAGATTTAATGCAATAACCACTTTATGATCTAGAAAAATATGCTAGTGTAAGTATTAAGAAAAATGCTACAAGTACATAATAAATGTACATAGAGGTGTACTCACATGGAGTGGCACTTAAAAAAAAAACTCTTACATTCCAACGGAAATTTTCTGTTAGAATTCTTTATATTTTCCGTTGGAATAGCTATTCCAACGGATATCCCTACGTATAAAAATTCGTGGGAAAAACGGTCATTGGAATAGCTAAAATCCAACGGAAAATCCTATGGAAATAAATTCCTACAGCTATTCCAACGGAAAAAATTCGTTGGAATTCCTCAACCATCCAACACCTATTCCAACATAAAATTAAGTTTGTTGGAATATTCATTGGAATTTCCAACAGAAATTTTTGCCGTTAGAATTAAAAGTGTTTTCTTGTAGTGTGGGGTCCACTTGATTTTTTATTTTTTGGTGGGTCCCACTCAATGTGAGTATTATGTACACCCTTATGTACAATATTATGTTCCTATATCATTACTCAAGTATAAAACACTTGCGGATAGAATGTCCAATTCTAACATTAGACATGAAAAAATCTATCTAAGTTATCGATACAAATCATATCAAAAACACATCATGGTTGATCAAACAAAATAACACAAACACTTATATAGAAATAGCAAAATAATCAATCGCCGTAATTATTAAACATAGCCAATTACGTAGGGTTCGACATTTTCAGAATTAGAAGTAAAATCTACCTCGAAATAAAAAATACCAAATAAAGGAGAAGAATAAAATTATCTGCGTGCGCTCACTTTTTCTGTTTCGCTCTATATTGCTGCGTGATAGTCCCTGGCTTGTGTGTGGCGGCTGCTTGTTACGTACCTTCCCAAAGGATATCTTCTTATGCCTTTTACTCTCTCCGTTTTAAAATGTTTGTCTTTTTGATTTTTTTGATTTATTCATTTTGCTATGTATCTATATAATATATTGTCTAGATACATAGCAAAATAGATGAATAAAAAAAGTCAAAACGACAAATATTTTAAAACGGAGGGAGTAATAAATAAATCAATTAATTAATTAATTTCATCTCACAGGGCCACAAGTTATGTTGCTTGGACAAGTCGCAATTTTGCTTACCCTAATCTCTTGGCCCCATAACTGCGTTTTTTATTCCTGAATTATGTTATAGCCCCCAAGGTGGGCTTAATTCTTTTAATTGGGCTTTTAACTTCACGATTAGCATATATGGTCCTAAATTGATATAAAATATGAGAAAAAATGATTGAAATTGATTGTTAGTTAAAATTACGTGAGTAGATGAATAGTGAATAAAGTTGATGTGATGTATAAGAATGGTTGGCGACTTCAGTTTGCTCCTAAAGATACAATCTTTTGATATTATTCTATAATATTGATAATATTGAGGCTAGTGAATTTGAATTAAAATTGAATTAAATTTGAGTTTTAATTAATTTTTTGGTAGTGTAGTTTATATCCAATTACACCATTAATGTTTCCCATTTTAAGTCCACTGCAAATGGGCCTAAAGCAACAATACCTATATTGATAAGGCTATGTTTGTTAAAACAAGCTGATAAGCTAGCTGATAGCTGATAAGTTAGCTTATAGCTTATAAGTAATTTTCGAGCTTATAGCTTATAGCTTATGACTTATAGCTGAAAAGCTAGCTTATATGATAAAAGTGTTTGGTAAAATTAGCTGAAATACAAGTTCAACGAGTTTATTTGAAAAGCTACCCAAAGAAGCTTATCAAATAAGCTCGAGCTTTTTAAAAAAACTCGTCCTACCAAACGGAGCTTATTTAAAAACAGGGAGTTTATAAGCTAACCAAATAAGCTATAAGCTAGCTTATATATCAATAGTTGGCCCAATAGATACATAGTTGAGCAAGATTGCGATTAGGTAGCCCACTATTTTTGGGCCATCCATTTAAACACCATGGTTTTGCTATGGAGTCATCAGATGACTTAACTTATTGAGTCATCCATTGTCATTCACAACTTGCATATTGACATGTGTCATGCATTAAATACACATTAGCATGTGTCAGTATATAAAATTATAAATGAGTCATACAATGACTCCATAAAATTTCTGTTAAACGCCATGAAGTTCAAGATTTCCTCTTGTTTTTAGTTACTTCAATGATATCAAACAAAATATTAATTTACATAAACCTTAACTCATATAACAAAATAATAAACAACAAGAGGTTATGAAGGAAATTTGGATGTAGAAAATTTTCATTTTAGTCCTCTCGATAATTTTTTAAAATTGAAATTGTGATTGAATACAAAATATTTGTTAAAGTTACATTATTTTTTTTCTCTAAATCTAATCTGCATGATATAAAAAATAAAAACCAATCGTCATATATAATTTATATAAAAAATATTAATCACCCTTTAAATAGTTATAATTATTAATTAATATTTAAGTATTATATATTTATATCAACTAAAATTTAATTATTATATTCTAATCTTATATCTATTCATATCATGAAGAATATATTATTCTTAATCAATTATTTTCTAATATTCCCAAATTCCCATCTCTTATTAAACTATACATTTTTTTTCGGTACGATGAAAGAGGCCGAAGGCCTAAGTGGTACTACGCAAGAACTCGTCGGGGGTACGACATCTCGAAGATATCGTGATCAAGCCAGGCGCCCATGCCCGGTGGAGGTGAGAAGACGCGCTGTAAACCAACAGATGAAGTAAACGCTAAGCTTGACATGTGGTCGGCAGCAAAATTGGTCTCCTTATGCAAGTGTTGTAGACGAACATGCCAATCACATTGAAGCACCGCGAATTGCCAGGACAATGGTCTCGTGAGCTCCAAGATTGTCCTCAGACCCAAGTACCATTTTCGTGGCACACTGGCTGTCAACTTCGGCAACCCCTCGACGAAATCCCGGGTCCCAGGCCAACTACAAATCCTGTAAAGTCCCCAAAGCTCGGCTCCCATTATTGTGCAGACACTAATATTCATGAGAAAGTCACCTTGCCAAGTGAGGGGCGTGTTAGAATATCACTTGTGAGTTGTCTCATATCGTTCATACATGGAAAATGGACCCACCTTATAAGTCTAATGAGCTACTCCTCATTCCACCAATTGGTTTTGGGATGGAACCCCACTTGGGCTTCTGCGCTTCATGTTAGTGGGACCGCACCCGTTTTTCTCACAGTTTCTTACATGGTATCGAAGTCGGTTCTATTGGGACCATGCGATGACGTACTCGTTTATGGGAGTCTGGTTCTAGTAGGCTTGGGGCACCCAACGCAGTTGGGCTTGGACTTTCTTATTAAGGACTCACCATGAGAAAGAAAAACGGGTACGTGAGGAAACAGACTCTCATAAACGGGTAGCTCATTAGACTTATAAGGTGGGTCTATTTTCCATGTGTGAACGATATGAGACAACTCACAAGTGATATTTTAACAATTTTAAGGAATATTTGCAACTATAATGACATGTTTGCCCCTATTATCGCCACATAAAAACATTTCAACAAAAATAATAATAAAAATGAGGCGGCTCGATACGTGCCTCTCGAGTCTTGACCTTTCACTTTGCGGTGAGGCCATTACAATTAGTTCCATATTATTTCATATTACCTCTACTTTTTTTTTTTTTTTTTAAACAAAATCTTTCAATGACATATGTAATTGACGTTATCCTAGTCGATTCATTATGTCATTTTAAACAAAAATGAATAATAATATCATAATTTTGCTATGCTAGTCTTTTATATTTGTTTAGCGTGACATTTTTGTTTCAAAATATGTGCATCTATTAAATCAGATGTTTGTGTAATATATCTCTGGAATTAGGGTGCACAAAATACGATTAACTAACTGAATCGATCGACACTGAATATTTAATTTGATTTGGATAATAGTGACCAGTTAACCGAACCGCATTGAAAACACATACACACACACACATATATATATATATATATCGAAATATATATATATATATATTATTTATACAAATAAGTTATAAAAATGCATTAATTTGGTTCAATTTTTTGATTATTTATTAGATGTGAAAAACTGGAAAAAACTTATTGAAGATGAACGGTTAGAGAGAGAGAGAAGGAGGAGCGTCTGTACATGAGAGAAGGAGTCAGTCATAGAGGGATTAGATAAGGGCACAGAAGGTTCAGAAGGTGTAGAAACAGAATTAGCTTGAGACTTGTTTGGGTGAATTCTAGGACCACGAGGACCTACCCAATCAGGGGGATAACCTATGACTTGGTAACATCTGTCTGTGGGATGTGGATATCCACAATGGTCACATTTAAACTTTTTCTTTTCTTTGAAGTCTTTAGGATTTTGAAATTTTGAAGGCTTATAGCCAGTTTTAGCAATCATTGCAAGAGTCCAGAGATTTAGAGTTGTTGTTTAAAGCACGTTGACTTTCCTCTTGCAGTAACAGTGAGTAAACTTTGGATAGAGACGGTAAAGGAGACGATAACAGGAAGTGACTTCTCAAAGAAGAGTATGAATCATTTAGACCAATGAGGAATTTTATAACAGAGTCATTTGATTGAGAAACAGCCATAGAATCAGGTACAGGAGGTAAATGCACCACAGGTACAGCGAAAAACAGGTTTGTAGGTGACATATTCATCCCAAAGGCTCTTAAAAGAATTGTAATAATGTGTAATAGACATAGAACCTTGGTCCATGGTACTCAAAGTTTTCTCAAGATGAAAAACTCGAGGACCACTACTAGCAGCATATCTAGACTTGATTTCATCCCAAACATCTTTGGCAGAATTAAAAAATAAAAGAGACTGACGTATATCCTTTGAAACAGAGTTCAGAATCCATGATAAGACCAGATTGTTTGCACGCATCCATGCCAATGAAATCGCAGGATCACAATTAGTGAGAGGAACAGGAATCGTACCATCGATAAAGCCAACCTTATTTTTGACAGAGAGCGCCATAAGAACAGATCGCGACCACGTAACATAATTGTCGCCGGTGAAAGCCTCAGCCACGATAAGCGCGTCTGGATTATCACTTGCATGGAGGAAGTAGGGTGATGACGGATCGTCAGTGAGTCCGATGGTCGTAGTCGCCATTTTAGGGTTTCAGACAATAGATCGACAGAAAAAAATGTGAATCAACAATAGATCGGAACTAAATCGAGTCAGACCTGAATAATAGAGCACAGATCGAAGTCGATTAAGGACCAAATCAGACAAAAATGCGAAAATTTCAAAGAAAAAATATGAGATTCGATCGAGATATTGATCGAACTACAGAGAAATCGAGAGCAGTGGAACACAAATCGAAGAATGGATCGATAAACCGTTAACTGATACCATATTAGATGTGAAAAACTGGAAAAATCTTATTGAAGATGAACGATTAGAGAGAGAGAGAGAAGGAGGAGCGTCTGTACATGAGAGAGAAAACCAAAAGCCAAAAGTGAAGACCAAACCCTAATACAACCTATTTATACTATCCCTATACAACATAAAGTGTTATTCACAAAGTAACACTTTTACATATAAAGCTGAATATACATTACAATATAAAAGGCTAATTAATATATCTTTATTCTAATATTATTTTCGAGTTTCAATAACTTCTAAAATGGATCAAACATTGATTTGCACTCAAAATTGACTTCGTCAATATAGTCCAAGTCATTGTTCAAGTCCGAGATCTTCCTTAGAGGCAAATTTAAAATTATTTAGAATATTAAACAAGGAGATGATAAATTAATATTTTTGGTTCGAATAAAAGACAAATTTTTTGTTCGATTAAAAGTTAAGAATTTATTGAGAATATTAATTATTTATTGCAATTAACCAATAACCGAACCGAGTCGCTAGATTTTCAGTTAAAAACCAAAGAAAACCATAAATTTCGATTCAGTTTTCGGTGCATATAATGAATAAATTGAATTTTTTTTTTTTATAACCGAAAATTCAGTCGGTTGGATTGGTTTCGACCGAGTGAGCAGTCCTATCTAGAACATCTTATCTTCTTAAGTGTGTGTGTCCACAAATTTTGAGCTATAGATTGAGGGATTTAAGCTCGAAATATAACATTAAATTTGATTAGATGTATACACATTATGGTCCACTTGAGAATTAGAACAAGACTGGAGGGGAAAGGAAGGCGCGGTGAGCCAAGACCCAGTTCTCGCATTGCCTGATTTCTCCAAGCCGTTTGAGATAGAAAAAATTGTTCATTATAAATTTGTAAACATAACACTAATAATTATAAAAATCTGTAAGAACAAATTTTCAAAACGAGACGAGAATATTAATGGTGTTAGCCTTTAAAGTCACAAATAGATAATTTAAAAAAAAAAATCCGAATTTTTAAGTGATATATAGTTTTATATATTTAAAGTTCAAATCAATAGAAATTATCTTTCAAATCTTAAAGAGATAATTAATTAACCTATTTTAGGACCTAAATTCACAAAAATACTAAGGCTATGTTTGGTAAAATTAGCTGATAAGCTAGCTGATAGCTGATAAGCTAGCTTATAGCTTATATGTAATTTTTGAGCTTATAGCTTATAGCTTATGACTTATAGCTGAAAAGCTAGCTTATATGATAAAAAGTGTTTGGTAAATTAGCTGATAAGCTAGCTGAAATAAAAAAATTCAACTAGCTTATTTGAAAAGCTACCAAAAGTAGCTTATGAAATAAGCTCGAACTTTTTAAAAAAGCTCGTCCTACCAAACGAGGCTTATTTTAAACAGGGAGCTTATAAACTAACCAAATAAGCTAAAAGCTAGCTTATTTGGCTTACCAAACATGCCCTAATAATCCGTAAATCCAAATGACTCAGTACAATCCCGCCAAAAAGACAAAACCAAAAAGAATACACGACAAGGGCATTTTCGGAAACATGAATTTAACTGTCGCCTCAAATAACTAATAAGCCTTCATAGACGAATGACCTTTAGCCATATTCAAGGGACCACCAATTCGTAAATTTCAAGTCCTTTCTCCACTACAAATATGCTCTCACCCCTCAGCTCATCATCTTCCCTCCACCGCCACCGCCACCGCCACCGCCACCGTCATCGCCGCCGCTAAAACCAACCTCCCTAGCTCGAAACCAACATGGCATCACTTTCCGTCAAATTCCTCTCTCCCTCGCCGACGAACTCCGGAATCAGGTTCAGGAACGGCACCCGGGCTCAGGCGGCCACCCCGCCTCAGACGGTGGCACGCCCGCCGCCTTCCGTCGCGTCGGAGGTCGACGCCGGGAGGCTGGAGCCGAGAGTGGAGGAGAAGGGCGGGTACTTCGTGCTGAAGGAGAAGTTCAGGCAGGGGATAAACCCTCAGGAGAAGTTGAAGATCGAGAAGGAGCCGATGAAATTGTTCATGGAGAATGGAATTGAGGAGCTCTCGAAAATCCCGCTCGAGGAGATCGAGCAATCGAAGCTCGGCAAGGACGATATTGACGTCAGGCTCAAATGGCTCGGCCTCTTTCACAGGAGAAAGCATCAGTGTGAGTTTTCTTTTATCAAATCTCGACGAACTTAGCCAATTCTGTATGAAATCGAATGATTGATTTGTGGTTGAACAAATTTTTGCTTATTTTTAATGGTGAAGTGAAATAGTTCAGGAAAATGATCTGAACAAATTTGTTTTTATTCTTCTTCGAAGAATAAATTGAAATTGAAAAAAAAAATACGGGGATGATGATAAAGTTATGTTGTTCCTGATATCAGATGGCCGGTTCATGATGAGGCTGAAGCTCCCGAACGGCATCACAACAAGTGCCCAAACCCGATACTTAGCCAGCATCATCCGGAAGTACGGCAAAGATGGCTGTGCTGACATCACCACCCGGCAAAACTGGCAGATTCGTGGCGTGGTCTTGCCTGACGTGCCCGAGATTCTAAACGGGCTCGAGAAAGTCGGGCTCACGAGCTTACAGAGTGGAATGGACAATGTAAGAAACCCGGTTGGGAACCCGCTTGCAGGTATCGACCCGCACGAGATAATCGACACGAGGCCATACAACAATTTGCTGTCTCAGTACATAACAGCAAATTCGCGTGGCAATCCTGCTTTTAGTAACTTGTAGGAATCCTTGTTCTGTTTAATTTGATGTCTGCATTTTGTTTATTTTTTGGTGAAAATTTTTATGGTGTTGTGGTTGGTTTTTGTACATATTTTTTGCAGGCCAAGAAAGTGGAATGTGTGTGTGATAGGTTCGCACGATCTTTACGAACATCCCCACATCAATGATCTTGCTTACATGCCGGCAATGAAAAACAGCCGGTTCGGATTTAATCTTCTCGTGGGAGGGTTCTTCAGTGCCAAGAGATGCGCCGAGGCAATCCCTCTCGACGCGTGGGTCCCGGGAGATGACATACTTCCTGTCTGCGGAGCTATACTCGAAACTTTCAGAGACCTCGGTTTTAGAGGAAACCGGCAGAAAACCAGAATGATGTGGCTTATTGATGAACTTGTGAGTGAATTGATCGATAAATTCGAGATATAACAACTACAAAGGAGTACTCCCTCGAGTTTTAGTTTAAATTCGTTTATAGTTTGCGAATTCTGAAATGCGGTTACTTTTTTTCCAAAGGGCATAGAAGGATTTAGAGATGAAGTGGTGAAAAGAATGCCTCGACAGGAGCTCGACCGAGCATCCCCCGAGGACTTAATCGACAGCCAATGGCAAAGAAGGGACTACTTTGGGGCCCACCCACAGAAGCAATCGGGCCTCAGCTTCGTGGGGGCCCACGTGCCCGTGGGCCGACTCCAGGCGGACGACATGGACGAGCTGGCCCGCGTGGCGGACGAGTACGGGTCGGGCGAGCTGCGCCTCACGGTCGAGCAGAACGTAATCATCCCCAACGTCAACACCTCCAGAATCGAGGCCCTCCTGAACGAACCCATACTAAAAGACCGTTTTACCCCTGAGCCTCCGATCCTCATGAAGGGGCTGGTGGCATGCACGGGCAGCCAGTTCTGTGGGCAGGCCATCATCGAGACCAAGGCTCGGGCCCTGCGGGTGACCGAAGAGGTCCAACGGGCCGTGTCCGTCGAGAGGCCCGTGAGGATGCACTGGACGGGCTGCCCGAATTCGTGCGGGCAGGTCCAGGTGGCGGATGTAGGGTTCATGGGGTGCATGACGAGGGACAAAAACGGGAAATTGGTCGAGGGAGTCGATGTTTTTCTCGGGGGAAGGGTCGGGAGCGACTCGAACTTGGGCGAGGTGTATAAGAAAGGAGTGCCGTGCGAGGATTTGGTGCCATTGATCGTTGAGTTGATGATCGAGAGGTTCGGGGCCGTACCGAGGGAGAGGGAAGAGAGTGAAGAAGATTGATGTATGTTAAGCTTGAAAAATTGAAAGAATAATGTGGCTCTTTTGGAGTGTGCATTCTCTTACAAATGGTGGATTTTGATGTTAGTAAAATGGGTATTGTGTGTTGAGTTTTGTGCTGTACAACGTGAACTTTGATGATCTTGTGTTTTATGAGAATAAAATGCATAAAATTTGAAGAACAGGAGTGGCCACGGTAGAATAAATCAATAAACAAAGCGTAAGTGTCAGATTGAGGTTTGAGGCATTCATGTGCACTACAAAGTGTCAGAATGAAGTTTGAGGCATTCATGGCCACTGTAGAATAAATCAATGAATTTATGTCACTTTTCAAGCCAATTTTATTTCCAATTTTTTTATCCGAACCTAAATACAAAGCATGATATTATGATATGTAAGATTCTAAAGCGTGCAAGCCTACCACTTAAGCTCAACACGTTTTGAATTAATATATGAAAATTATATATAACATTTATTGTGGAAAGCAGAGGAGACTTGTCTGATACCTGTCTGTCTACTGGTACAGATCTCATCATCTCATGCCACCAAAATAATAACCTCAAACCCTGATCAAGCATAAAATATACATACAGAGATCAAGATCCAAGCAATCACAAAAACAGATCAAGATTCATATTGAGCCAGATAAAGGCTAGAAGATAGCCACAAAAATAGAAAAAAATAAATAAATAAATAAAAAATTCCTCTGAGTGCACATTCTTACAGGAGACTAGAGTTTCTTATGATCTCAATTGCCACCAATAAATCTATAAGTTAGTACAACATATGATATGATAGTCCAATGAAGAAAACAGAAACTTGGTCTATAACAAAACAACTCAACTCAGAACTCTAGTAGATATGTAGAAGATCTCAGTCACCACTAGAACATGTCCAAACGTATCGTAACTCGAAAATTCGACTCAACTTTTTCTTAGCTAAAAGTAATTCTAGCACAACAAAACCCAAATTTATGTTCACTGCGCGTGTAAGACATGAAAAAACTATCCAATGAGGGCAAAAATAACGACACAATTCTCCCACCTTTTGGAAAAAAAAAAAAAAAGATTAGTACATCGAACACATGATCAATCATACAATGTGAGTAAATTCTGCCCTTTTTAGGTCACATAGAAACCCGTGCATTGTCCCTCTCGAAATCCCTTCTGCAATTTTTTTCCGAAGAATCGGACCTAAACGAATATGACTTCGAATTTGGCACACGGGTTGCTCTC